GGCTGCCCCATCCCTGGCAGTGTTCAAGGCCAGGTTGGACACAGGGGCTTGAGGCAACCTGCTCTAGTGGAAGGTGTCCCTGCCTGTGGCAAGGGGTTGGGACTCATGAGCTTTAGGGTCCCTTCCTATTACAGAGCCAAACCATTTAATGAACTTTAAAAAAAACCCCAAAAAATACCTGCCTGCTTGAGCATTGAATCTTTACCTATAAAAGGCTGATGCTGCTTTACTGCATTTTCTTGACAGAGAATAATATTGTATTTCCTTTGATGAAAGACCTTGGTGACCCAGTCACCTTGGAGCAAAACAAAAAACCAACCCAAGGATAGATGTAGGAGTCTGTAGACTACAGGTCAGGCTCAAACCCAGCTTGATTTGAAGATCTTTCTCTGCAGTGATTTTTCTTTCTCGCACACTTAATGTACTGCCCTTTTGCTAAGATAGAGAATCGAAGCTAGTGTACAATTCAGAGTCACGTGTAGCTCTTCTCTTGAAATAACAAAAAGCAATCAAAATACTCAACAGATCTGGGATTTAGATCCAGCTTCTCTCTTTCCAGGCAGTCTCTTAAACATCTATCTTCTGGTGAGATTTCACTTCAAAGTAAAGCTAATGAAGTGCCTGTCAACACATTGCAGTTAATGCTGTTGCTCTGACTACAGATGAAAAAATATGTAAAACAGGAAAAAAAAATCCTTATTCAACTCCTTAGATGGAAACCACTTTGTGTTTGCCCCATTTGCTGAATTTCAAGAATTTTCATAACTGTTACTCAAATGTTTGTCATACTAGCTTCTTTTTTTTCAAATACTATTAATAGAAAATTACAGTTAGTAATTTCCAATATTTGTGTTGGAAACCTGGTTTCAAGACCTTGTAGATATTTGATCTGGGCAGAAAAACACAATGCTTCATTTATATCTGATCCAAGCATGACAGTAAATGGAGGAAGGTGACTGAGGGAGTATTATTTAGACTGCTCTGGGAGTTACCTTTTAAAAACAGGTATTTTTTCCAAGAACTAGAATTTTAACCTGTTGCAATTTTGTTGCCATACAAATGCAGAAAAATCACCCCCTTTTTACTGAGGGGTATTTATGTACTGATCATAAAACCAGCAAACTGGTTAGCTATTAAGTGAAGCAGAGTAACACCTTTTTTCCCTGAGCCTGCCACCATACACTGCCACAGGAAAGCAAAGATAAATATTTGGCTGGATTGTATGGGATAAATGTTAAAATTACCTATGAGTTACTAAGTTCCTGCTCTTATCCTGGAATATACCACCTGTCAGGCAGGAGAAAAGGGGATTCTGGCTGGTTTTTGCTGGGTGAAGGAACTTGAAAGAGAATTCCCCCTGACTGTGGGAGTGCAGAGGACAATAAGCAATGGGCTTTTGGGGACCATTTCACAACCGGACTACTGGCATAGCTGCCACCCTGGCAGCAGGGAAGGCCCTTAACTACCACAACCCAGCGAACAAAAACCAGTAGGATTTGTGAGTTAGCTCCTGGGCTGTTTACAGACCAGTGTGGTTTCACTATAAGCTGACAGTTAACACTATAAGATGACAGGTTAATACTAACTGTTTAATAGTCTGAGCTGTTACAGCTCAAGATCTGCTGAGTGGCACCCTCAGGCAGCAGCTGCAGGTCACAGAGGGCTTTAGGGTGGGGGGCTGAGAGCATGTTGATGGCTAAAGCTGAGCTACCTTAACTGCAGCAACCTCTTTGCTTTGGCAAAGGAGGGCAGGAAGGTGGGTTAAAGCCTTTCTAACCCTCCCTGCTTCCTGCCTGTGCGTCTGCAAGCGGCAGGAACAGATCTCAAGCATGACTGCGCTTTTAAGTGGAAATTTCTTGAGCAAAAGGTCATCTCTCCTATATATTTTTAAGATAAAAGTAAAGCTGCTTCATAAAGAAGGTATGACCCAGGAAAACCAGAACTGTTCCTTGTGTCTAATGAAATGTAGTGGAGAGTGCCAGTTCAGACTCCAGCATAAGATCAAAGTAGGGTATAGTGTTTACATCAATTTTGAGGAAAGATACAGCAAGCAAAAGGAAAACTCCTATCAAAGTTATCTGGGTTACAAAAGAAGTTACACTGTCAGTAGGCAACAATTTATACGGTCAAGAACGTACACAAGAAAATGCTATAGTAACAGTTCTACAAAACTATAAGAGGGTTTGTAAGACCCAGAAGACGACTTAAAGAGTAGACACAAACATTTCATCACAACTGTTTTAAGTAAGCTTATTACTGAGATTAAATTAGGGCCACTGTCATTTAAGAGGTGGAAGAACGTTTTGCAAACACAGTGAAATAAAGAGCCTAGTAAAACTCTTATAAAACACCGCTAGCAAAAATAAATTAAAATACTACTTTGGAAAAGAAAACAAAGCTGGCTCTGTAATACGAAGAACAAAGGATGGCGCTCATCTTACTTCAAACAAACGTATCTTGAAATGTTTTCTAAGCTTGGCAGAGTGCCTTTAAAAAAAGAAAAATAAAATAACCCAACACCACTTCTGTCTCTGTGGTGCATAACAGCAATAGCTGCTGACTTAAGTTGAATTTCTTACAATCCATGTCTAAGGAAACTGGAAGCAGAATTTGGGCCCACAAATGCAGCAGCCTCAGTTGATGCAGTTTATAGGTATAAGGAGAGAACTTGCTTTAATGAGAACATTCATGTATCAAAGACTCATGAAGCTGTTTACAAATTATTATTATACACAATTGCAGTTTCTTCCCAAAACTAGTCACAAAACTTGATAAAACTTTTGGTTTTCTCCCATGCGAAATGAAGAAACTGAGCCCACTGCTCTATACAACAGTTTAGGTTAATGTAACATCATTCAAACTTTACAGACTTCATCCTTGTCAGGCTCTTCCCATTAGACTTTAAATTCCTGCCAGAAACATCTTGGTGGTTTTCTTGAATGCACAAGAGGAAATATTTCTTCTAGTTTCTCAGGGGAAACAGGAACGAAAATTAAAAACTCTGTTCTTCAACGCGTGTCAGAAAACCTTCTACAGTGGAAGGGGTTTTCCCATCTACTGAGACACTACACATTCTCTGCCTCTCAAAAGTATGCAGTATACCATCATTATGTGTCATCAGTCTCCAAGAACCTGCCACCTTGGTCAGTCTTATTTGAGAAGAGGATTTTGTGATGTCTCTAGAGTTTCTGTTTGTCCCAGCATGTCTGAATACCCTGATGCAATTGCACACAAGCTGTGGAACCTCCAGTCCTGCAGATACTAAAAGCTCAACTTGACAAGTTTCTTAGCAGCTTGGAGCAGAAGGTTCGACTATGCCTCCAGAGGTATCTTTGAGATCACAAAATCATAGAACCATAAAAGAAAATCTTCAGCATCAACAATTCAGTCTTACAGAGGGAGATGGGTATACAAGAACGATTCCTGGAGATAATCATAAGAAATTTATCATAATTTTTTTAATAGCAAGGCTGGGATCTCAAACAACCTGTAATTTCAGCAACAATTTTGATATATCTAATCGTATCAAGTTAAAGCTAACTGCAAAGGTACGTTGGACCTATGGAAGAAAAGTACAAAAAGTCACTGATTAAACAAATCAGTCTCTCTGACTATCACTTAGCTCTTTATTTCAACAGACAGTGCTTTCAGAGTTTGGCATTTTGCCCCAGGACGCATTTGTTATCAGCAGTGTCACTAATGTTGCATAGACATAGCTTGAGAGACAAAACTCATTTGGGCTGCAGCTGTAACAGTGCAGCAGTAATATGATCCCAAACTGTGATCTTTGAATGATGAGCTCCTAGAAGCGAGGTTGCTGCTTTACTGAGCCACTGTTTCAACTCATGCAATGAATCATTTCCTTCAAGCAAATAGATGGTGAATTGATTATATGTATCTGTGAATAGGCAGAAATATAGATTAAAATTATTATAGATTGATTATCTCAAAAATGTTCATAAATATAAATTAAATCTACAATTCCAGGGGGAAGCAGGCTGTGCTTGCCGTCATCTCAGGCAGCAGGGGACAAGGAATATTTATTCCCTCATCATTTTTCTCCCCTCTACTCCACCCCCAAAATGTTCATTTCTTCCACAAAAGAGGAGTAAAGAACAAAGCAAAATCTCTCATGCTCCTCTAGAAGTTCATGGTGAGTCCCCATGTTGCATGTGGGGTCCCCTTCAGCTCAAAAATAATATAATAGAATTAAAAGGTATACTACTGAGAGAAAAATGCATAAACACATTGAATGGCTTCTCTATAAAGAACTTAGATAAATTAGTTCAAAGGAAGATGACAGCAGCATACAGAATGACTACCGTAACATAAAAGGCGAACAGGAATGATCAGTCATTGCTCAAAATATAAGCAGAGTATCAAATAAAATTATTTGGTGACAAAAATAAACTAGTTTTCAAAACAGAACAAAAAAACCCAAACAAGAAAAAAAAAAAAAAACCACAAAACAACACAAACAAGTGAAAAAAAAACCCAAAAAAACAAACATACTTTAGCTGTAGAATCTTCTGCCACAGGATGCTGCTGGATACTAGGAATTTCTATCAACTCAGAAAATGTTTAACTAAATTTCTGTAGGAAAAAATCCATCAAGGGCTATTAAACAAAAGATACTATATGGGAATCACCAAGTTGAAGATAACTGGAAAAGTACATGAGAGCAGGAGTACTGTATGGATGCTGGAGGAGACATCCCTTTTTCACCACTCTGAGTCAGTATCTGGGGCTGGGGTGAATCTTTTGTATTACCTTTTAAATTGTTCTCATGTTCATGTGGCTAAAATTAATCTGGTAGAAAGAACTATGAGTATGAATTTACATGTGAGTTCCTGTAAGTGCACGTAAAAATTGAGAGCGATCATTCTGAGATTTATTTACAGCAGTTCTTTCCTATAGTAACCATAATATACACTTCGGCTGTAACCGTGCTGTATTTTTAAGCAGCAGTATGTGTTGAAATGCCAGTACCTAGGGTAACTGCTTCTGTCTGACTCAGTATTGGAAGCAGAGGTTGTAACATATCCTGCTTTTATAACATTCTGCACCTTGCTGCAATAGGCTGCAAAGCGATCAAGGACTTGCTCCAGGTCAAATTACCTTGTTATTAGCATAATAGCTTCTTTTTATGGCAGAAAGGAAGATGCTTCTTTACACGGTTACAGTGGGATGGGAATTAATTAGTGGTTCTTGAGGGCACAGAAGAATGTTATTTACCAGCACATCTACAAAAGGCAGTGTAGTAAGCAAAGGAAATGCCTGCCCAGCTGTGCCTCCACCTCCTATGGCAGCAATGTGCCTCCTGCTCACGTATTCTGCTCCGCACAGTTCTTGTCCGGTTAAACACATTCAGCGTTCCCAGGATAGCCTTGATAGGGCTGTGGAATGAAAAGTGCAGGAGATTAATCAATAAATCTTATGCGGATCCATATTTCAGAGGAATGTTCAAACCACATGCCTCTGGTTGAAGTACTGTTTTAATAGAAGGAACTTTCCAGTAATTCACAAAAGCTCAGTGGGACCCAAAATCCTTCTATAGAGGCAACGTTGCTGAGTACCCACCAGCTTTTCTTGAACTCCAATGAGGGTCAACACTATCAAAGAGGGTGACTGTGACCCATGGGATTAGGTGAAGTAATAGATGAGCTACTTAACTACCTTGTACCTCAAGAAGTCATTTATATCTCTGCAACTGGCAATAGCAGCTAATGTTGTGAACGTGGCCAGCCTGAGAACACTGTGGCTGGGATATTCTGTATTCACCAAGAGGGGTGCTAAACAGTTTTAACAAGGTTTTAATTAATCCTATTTGTGCTCTTGTGTGTAAGCTCCTGGGCATGATCTTTTCCATTTTTACCAGTTTTGCCAGAAGCGGCATCTACTCGGGGAAGGTATTACTGTATGTGATTGCCTTTGAATTTCCTTTCTCAGCTGTAAGCAAAGATAAATTACTGTGTTTGGGATGTGGCACTGCACTTCAGGAAAGACTATTTCTTCAGTTTAAACAAGAGCTTAAAATCCCACCAGCTTATATAAACGCCATTTCCAATAGGGATGAATCGAGTTCCTGAAGAGACATGTGCAGGCACAGGGAAGCTGAGAACACTTCCATGCCACGTTCGTTAGTGATATACCAACATCCTGCACCGCTGAAGCACTTAGGTTGTAACCTCCTTTAAAAAGCAAAACCTCACTGATTAGGTCTGAATTTTATCATTTTTATTTTTCCCCACTTTCTTAACAAACTAACCCCAGAACACATCGGACGAAGCGGAGATGGTAAGCAACGAAAAAGCAGACACGTCTTCAGAAGCAGCGGCTCCTGACAAGGATGACACTAAGAACCCAGAAGCTGCAGAAGTGAAACACAGGAGAGAAGAAAGTAAAACCCCCAAAGCAAACCTGAGGAAGTTTTTTAAACTGGTAAGCAAGCAGTCGCTTTCAAGAGTTTACAGCAGTGCGTGTGGCGCGGGGACGGGTGGAATTCACCACAAAACCTCTTAAAAACGTGCCCATAGCGTGCTGCACGGAGCTGTGCCCTCGTCCAGCGGCCTGTGCTGCTGCG